CCAGCCTTCACAAGGCGAGCGATAGAGATAACTTCTTCTATTGGTTAAGGGCCCTTAAATAGCGTTACTGATTACATCAGTGAGTGGTGCTGATTTTTGAAGTGGATTAATTAATTTCAACAATGGATTTATTAGTTCTTTTAATTTTTCTCATGTATGGAATTTTTTTTAAAGTTATTGTTGGTATTTTACTCTCAAGAGAATAAAATTTTGCTAAAACCTACGTTTACAAGCTTGTAATTTTAAGATATACTTCAAAATTCTTAATTATATTCTGGGCCGCAATTTTTAATTTTGTTAAAAAAATAAACATGAACATTCAAGTTTGTTTTTATTGATACTGCAAATAAATAAAATGCTATTGCAAATTGCTAATTACTAGATTTGTTTTATACTAATACAATAATGTAACTCAAATTCTCAAAAGCCATTTTCCTGAAAGGACATGATTAGTCAGTATTATGTTTTTTCAGAAAAATAGCTTTCAGAAATCATGCAGTAATCTGATACAATACTGCAATAGATGCTAGTTTGCTAATTAGTAATACTGAAGATAAATGTTACTGCTAAGTTGCAAAAAGCAAAAACAAAACAAAAAACTACAGTAAGACCTCTCTAAATGCACGTCCTTGGAACCACACTTTAATAACGTGCATTTAGAGAATAATAAGAAAAAGTGTATGTATATATTCCAAAGACAAATTAAGCTTGAATAATAATAATTATAATAAAGAAGATAATGATATCGGTAATTATAATAATAATAATAATGATAACATCAGTAGTTATAGTAACTACGATGATAATGATGATAATAACAATAATCGCCATGAGTTGATTTGGTTTCTTTTTATAAATGAAAACTTATTCAATAATAGTCGATTCTTTCTATTAATTAAATTCAGAGCTTTACTGAATAAATAAAAAAGAAAGAAGTTTTACAAGATATAAAAAAGCTTTAATAAAATCGGGAAATTTCCTCTTATACTCAAGAGATTATGAGGAAAAGGTTTAGCCACTGTAAAATGCTTAATTTGCTCTTCCCAAAACATTTAACGGAGAACACTTATCGTTAACGTTAATTGTAAATCATTCGCCTAGTTAAGTAAATTTTTTTTGTGATTCCAAACACAAATTGTTTCATTGACGAATAATAATTATACAAATATAGTTTATCTCAAATTAACAATACCAGGAACAGAGTGATGAAATCATGAAGCGTATAGCTTAGCGAAGAAAGAAAAGGTGTATGTTCCTGAAATCTAATACCTGATTGATCAGTTGTCACAACTTGCATATTCTTCATCTACTATTAAAATTATGAACACATTCCTACGAATCTGCACTACTGGAATCAACACCCACCGTTGAAATCACTGCTAAATCCTGAATCCACTCACTGTTGAAATCTTTGACCTATCCATTACACAAACTATAAGCAATCATTAACCTGTTCGCATCGTAAATTTCTACCGCTGAAATTAATTCACTGATGTTAAGGTACTAACTGATCTACTGTTGAAACAGTTAAATTTAGTGTTGAAATCACTAACCCATTTTTGAAATCACTAACACATCCACCATTAAAATCACTAATAAATCCATTGTTGAAATTAATTAATCCACTTCAAAAATCAGCACCACTCACTGATGGAATCATTACTACATAAATCATTACTCACCCACGGCATTGCAAACTACCAGCCACTCATTATAGCGATTTGCAAAATTTTGTGAAATTTGTAAATCAAAATTATTATTGTTTGATCAGCTGACTTTATTTACACATAGAACAAACATATGGGGTTTCCGTTTGCTATCATTTTCAGGCATTACAAGCTTTATATTCATTATGCTAAAATATCTATGTCTCCAAATGGATATTTTATCCCGAGCAATCAATACGCATCTTATAGCACATTACATCTCTCTGATCACTAAAACATACTGCACCAGATTGAAGTCAAAAGGAATCTCATAACTATAAAGAGAATCAGTTATATAGTATTATCTGGAGATATAAGTAAGCTAAGATATAGTTCCTTGCACTGCCTACAACAGCCGCGGAATCTAGCCACCAACATGAGGTCCATGCAATGACTACAGCAGCCGCGGGGCAACTGAAGCCTAGGCAGCTGAAGCCTAATTGCCAAATGTGGGATCGTTGTGCTATCAGTGGCAGCCACAGAGCCTAACAGCACCTACTAATAGCTTCCTACACAAGTGTTCTTAGTTTACAAGCCACTGAGATGCGGCGGGAGGGATGGGACGATAGAGCCAGCCTTCACAAGGCGAGCGATAGAGATAACTTCTTCTATTGGTTAAGGGCCCTTAAATAGCGTTACTGATTACATACTTTGAACCAAATGATTACCTCTTGTTTCTGGCTTACCTGTTCTCTAATAACTATACGTAGTAATTTATATCCCAACAACCAAATACAAACATCTTACGCCCTAGTTAATAATACCAGGTTATCTATATTTATATATATATAATAGTAATTAAAGAAAAAAAAATAAATATTAAAAAAAATAATTAATTAAAAATAAAAAAAATAATAAATATTAACGAAAAAAACTATTTGGGATTAAAAACAATATTTTCTTTCACATAGTCTAAAATTTATACATTTATATCTGATTTAAATGATTTGCAATATTTCTTGAATATTAATTTTAATTACATGCATATAACTAATATTTTAGTGCAATAATGCATTTACAAGGAGGCTTATAAATTCAAAAGTTCTCTAACTGGCAATGATTTCACGACGCCGAGTCTAGTTGGAATTTTCAGATCTATTGTATATTCATCGCAATCTCTGATTGCAGCTGACGTACTTTGATAATTATTTCCTGCAATAAGAACTGCCTTAAGAGCTTGGCACACGAAAATACCAAGCTTTGTGAATATTTCTGGATGCTTCGCCATTTCCACCATATCAGTGCACTTCAAGTGCAATTGAAGTATTTGACACCATACATTTACACCTACAAATTCGGATAACTCGCTATCTACTAGTTCTTCCCTAAAATTAATAATTATTTTTTCTTAATTACAATATAATCAAATTTAAATGTTATAGATATTGGATTCTGGGTAATACCATTTAGCATTTACATACGTACTTACCCTTCATGAAGTTGGGAGTATTGATTTGCAAGACCTAAGATATAACGATGAAAGTTATATTGGTAACCATCATACCAGGTACCGACATCTCTAATCAATGTCTTCATACGAACATCAGTTTTCAGAATCTCACACACACATATAACCAATTCTTCATATAATTCATATGTGTTATTTCTAGTACGTAAAAAAAGAGCCTTACACTCATTTAGAGATTAGTTTTCTTATGCTAAAATTGGAAAAACAAATTAGTTTATACTACTAATAACTGTGGCAGATTATAATGCAATCAGATCATAATGAAATTTAACTTATTTTATGTATGATTTTTAAAATTTTTTTGGATCTTTTTTGTTAGTTTTTTTTTTTTTTTTATAGTTAAGTTAGGGTTTAGGATTAGAATTATTAGAAAAAGAGTATAAGTAAATTTTGGTAGAGCTTATATATTTAAATTGAGACCCTGATCTGATTTCATTATGATCTGCAACAATAACTACTAATAATTGTTAAAATAGTTAAAATTTTACATGGTCTATTTCTGAAATGGAAATGTTTGAAGGTAAATTATTCGACATATTATCATTATCCAATAATGTCTTATAACTATCGTCAATATTCGTTACTTGGGCACGTTGAATAATCATAGCTAAATTCAGAATTTTTGGATGGTTAGCAATCCACAACGCGATTTCAAATTCATTTGATGCATCAAAAAACTTTGTAATTTGAGTTTCGGTATCTATTAGATATGTAAATTGTTAACGTGTAGGCTTTACTAAATATCAGATTACATTAAACAAAATAATTCTCACCCTTATTCATGTTCGTTGGTATTGCTGCTGAAGTCACTGCTGTCATATGCGAAACCTTATTTCTACACATTGGCATTGCCATAGAATTTCCTGTTGTCGCATGTGAATCCATTGTTACCGTACGTGATGTATAGGTATTCGCGCGTGAAACCTTACTTGCTGAATTTTTGGCTATAGATTTCGAAGATATATCGTTTCAATGTGTGATGTTTTATTGATTGCAAAAGCTTTGGAAGGATTAGAATAATTACCTAAATAAATCGTAGTTATAAGGAATAAGTAATATTAGTACAAAAGTTTATTCATTTAATATATTTGAAACTTGATCTATATGCATTTTTTTAAAGTATAAAATAATACTATATACCGTTCTTGGTAGCATAATTTAAGGTGTCTATAAATTAAATACAGTATAAATGAAGTGGTTGATTATTTAAATTATTCAAATCGCATACTTAATATGTACCAAATTCTTCATAATTATTCTCTAAGCGGTGTTCATCATCGTCACTATAAATTTTGGTAACTTTGTTTCTAATTTTTTGATCTTGTACATTCATTGATTTTGGACTATTTTGCCTTCTCAAGGGCAAAGCTGATGCTTTAGAAGCTGAACCTGTATATTAATAACATTTCAAGTTTATTAAAATATAAAATTATAGACACAATGACTTAAATTATTAAATAATGTACCTATATTATCTTCCTCTAATTCATCTAAGCATTGTTCATATTCTCCTATCTCATCTTCCCCATCTTCCCTATCTTCCCTATCTTCCTCATCTTCGTCACTATAATTTTCAATTCTTTTATTCGCTGATTTTTTATTTTCTTGTCTCTTTCTTGAGGGCAAAGTCGATACCTTAGAAGCTGAACCTACATATATTATTATCATTTTCAAAATATAAAATTATAAACGTAAATGAATTAACAAATTAAATAATATACCTATAGTTTTTTTTGCTTGAGTTTTAATAGGTGTCTTGTTTCTTGTAACTGGTACTTTGTTTCTCGTAACAGCTATATAAACTTCTACTTAATAAAGATATAAACTATAAAGGAATTTGAAAATATTACTTTATCCACTCACAGGCTTTGTTTTTTCTAGGTGCCATGTTTTAGCGAAAAGAAATTAATATTTTCGTTACTACATATATATATAGTTAAATAATTTACCTATACGTATTACACGTCATTACTCGTTGCTTTTATCATATTACCTATACGTATTACACGTCATTACATGTTGCTTTTATCATACATAGTTAAATATTTAACTCACCATTTCTTTTGGTTACGTATTATTTACCTTTCGATTATGTATTATTTTACCTTTCGATTATGCGTGACTGACTTTTTTATTCTGCATATTATGTATTATTTATTAACCATGCAAATTATTAATTACATTAATTATAGATTACCAAAAATAAATTCAACAAACATCAAAAAAAAATACAAATTCATACTATGAAATGATCTAAAAGAGCAACTTATCTTTATATGGACATACCGAAGTTACGCACAAGAAAACGATATAAAAAAGGATTGTCTGACATAATAAATCCTGTTGATACAAATGTCATAGAGAATTTTTCTCCTCAAGAATATAGTTTAAGTTTTACTAATTCTGAGGCTGATGAAACGAGTAAAGAAATGAATAAAGAAGTCGATGAAGAAGTCGATGAAGAAATTAATGAAAATACTGATGATGAAACCAATGAAAATACTGATAAAGAAACCAATGAAAATACTGATGAAAAAACTGATGAAGAAGCTGAAGCAGAAGTATTGGCAGACGAGGTCTATTGTTGATAAATACATTAAATTCCTCATATGGGACCCCACAGCAAAAGGGTGCATTGGGCTAAAAAAAATTTTTTTTTTATTTTAATTGATTTCTTGACAATTTTTATAAAATTGCAAAATTAAAATTTTTGTCCGAATGCATCTTTTTGCTGTGGGGGTCCCCATATATAAAATATTGCTGCATATATATGTTTTCAATTAGGAGCTGGAACAAACTGATAATTATTTTCAAGAATTTACTCATAAACTATTGGTTGTTGATGCAGAAGAAGGTCAAATAAATGACGATGTTTTAGAAGAAGAGTCATCAGAATTTGAAGGTTTTGACGGAGAGTATGGACTATATTTTCTGAATTTTATATCGACAATGTTATATGTGTGGATTACAAAGCACATGATTTGTAAGTAACAATAATATTGTGCAAGTTTCATTGCTGCATCCACTTTTCTGCAATGCTGGTTGGTTAATATAAGGTTCAATCAAGAATTTATTTAGTCAACGTAACTTCTATTAGTATTATTCGGGCCTTGCCTAAATTCAAAAAGGAAATTTTTAATAATACGTAGAAATGATCAGTAATTAATATTTCTTTTTTGAATTTAGTTTTGATCGGTTTTTTGTGTTTTCCTTTTTGAATTTAATAATTTTTTTTTTTTGTTTTAATATTTCCTTTTTGAAAATTCTTGGGAATCAGTTTTTAATTTATATGTTATTGTTATTTTTAGCGACTAGTGCATATGAAGATCTTTCTAAAATCCTTAAACATCCCAAATTTCTCAAAGAAGAAGTCATTACAAACATTCGACGTTTCCGTAAATGGAGATATAAACTACCTCTTCTTCAAGTTAGACAGCATGATGTACCTATTTGTGAAAAAAAAGTGCCATCTACACTTTTATCTACTAAAAAGGCATTTGTTATATCCCCCTTGGTGCATTTGGAACATGTGCTCAATAACCCAACACTTATGCCCAAGATGTATTTTGGTCACGGCGTAGTTGAAGAAGAAAAGAGTGAATTCTGGCACGGGGATCTCTGGCAGGAATCTCCGCTTTTTGGAGAACATCAAATAAAATGTAAGGATGGAGGTTAGTATATTTACTTTGCATGGCCTTATATGGGGCCCCACGGCAAAAGGTGGTGATGGGCTAAAAAATTTTTTTCTGTAGTTTTTTAAATAATCTAATTTTTGCAAAAATAAAGTTTTTACAAAAATTTTTTTTAGCCCATCACCACCTTTTGCTGTGGGGCCCTCCATATGTAATTTTTTTTTTTTTTTTTTTTTTTTAGTGGGTCAGTAGCTACAGATCAAAAGGTGCTTTTATATCTGTAATTTATACATTAATTTTAAATTTTCTATGAAGATAACTGTTTTTTTCTTAATAAAATAAAAAATTAGAATTTTATCATCCTGGTGATTTTCTTTTATGTGAACAAAAAATGATATGCTGCATTCACGGCATAGTAATTAATAAAATAGATAAGACTCATAAACTAAAAGTTGATCAACTTCTTCGAAATAAGGATCTTCCTAATTATCGTTCTAATAGTATTCGCCATAATCGTGAGAACAATGAAGAACTATGGCTAGTTGAGGATAATTCTATATTTATTGATCTAGCAAATATTAATCGACGTATTGCAGTGTGGCTATGTGATTTACAAGAGCCTGAAAATTATGAATTTTATGTTCGTGAAATTGTCTACAAGTTTGGTGGTCGCTGGAAATTTTGGGATATTTCAAAAAGATATCAGTTGCCTTCGGAGTATGTTATATACAAACCACTACCACAACCCATGCCAATATTAAAAATATTTCTTGACCTTTATGTAAATGATTTTGGCATGTTTAGAAATGTATACCACTCTTTAGGTGGTATATACTTACAATTTGGTAACATGCCATTCTCTTCTCGTAAACTACTTAAAAACTACTTTCTAGTTGGTTTGGTTCTATTTGGAGCCAAATTTGATGATTTTATCAAACCTGTACTCGATGATATAAAGCGACTAGAGAATGGCATGATTATAAATACAATATATGGAAGTACATGGGTTGTAGGTGGTCTTGGGTGCGTAACAGCAGACTTACCCCAAGGTAATGACCTTGCAGGTGTTAAAAGACACGGGGCCATTCACGGATGTCATATATGTAATGTTGCTAGTGATCAACTTACTAGCCCAAATTATAACTATGTCGAAAATGCTCGATTTCGACAACAAACTAAAAAACGATTACTAGATATCGAATACCAGAAAGGAAAAGTTAGTAAAGGACGGTTAGCCACTGAGTATGGTTTAGCAACCTCTTCTGGACCTTTTAATTCGCTTATGTGGGATCAGCATATGCAGATCCCACAGGATATTTATCATTCGATGGGAGGTAAAGCTCGAACATTATTAGATACGACTCTTAATATACTTAGTACTAGTGGTGAGGAGGCCTTTCTAAAATGCTGGAAAAATATTGAAAAACATCCTTGTTGGAGTCAAATGCCCAACCCGTTAAGGCATCGGCAAAGCTTTATGTTTTCGGATATATTAAAGCTTGCTATATTAATGCCATTTATACTTCGGCGTTTTTTAAAATTTCATCATATAAAAGATAAAATTTTAAAAAAATTACAAGAAAGTCTTGGTAAAAGACAAGTTGTTACACAATTATGTTCTCTCTGGGCTATTGAGGCTAAGTCCATTAAGCTTACATTCACAGCACCCATGACCGATATTACTTATCAAGAACTACAAGAGTTATTAGTGAAAGAGCGTGATATACTTATTCAAGTTAGTATTTATAAATTATTTATTAGGCGGTTTGAAGTTAAAATTTTAATTTTATTTGCTCTCAGCTGTTTTCAGAGCTATATTTTAAAGCAGATTTTATTTAAACAAAATAACTACTACTGCACTATCTATACTTTATCTAATAATTAAGGCTTTAATTAAGGCTTTAATTGAGGCATCATATACTTTTGGTCTGGAATCACATAATCTGAAAACGGCTTGAATGATGAGTTTTTTTGTTCTTTTTTTTTTTTGATTTATTAAATACTTTTTTTGTAATGCTATTGTACAGTATTCTAATCTACTAATTTCAAATTATTTGTTTCACAATTAGGTCTTAATATATTTTTACCCAGATTTATTTGAGTTACGACTTCAATTATGTGTTACTACATAGCATAGAAATTAAAGAAAATAATGTCTAATTGTAAAATTGCATTATATTATAATCACTAGCATATACGTATAAAGTTTTGAAAATAGCAATGTATATGAATAAAAATAGATGATATTAAAATTTTAATTTCAAACCGCCTTACGATTTTTACTATTATATGTATTAATTATTATTTTAAAAACAGGTATTTCCAGAAAATTTTAAGAACCTACCTAATCTTCATGTAAATGTACATCTTTTGCAACATGCTCGAAATTTTGCAATACTAAAAAATGTTGCCGTTGGTGTAAAAGAAATGGTTCACCGTATTTTCAAGGGAATGGTTCCCCATACAAACTGCAAGATTATTGAACTTGATCTTACTCGGCACTATAATACAATACAGGCGTTGAGGCATATCTTTGATGGCTGGCAAAATCCCCGATTTGGTATCAATGCCAATACATTTCCTAATCTTGTTACGGACCCCTAAATTGGTATGCTTTTGACAATACACCACTCTCCTCAATAACTGAACAAGATGAAAAAGATGATGGTAACTAATATATTTAAATTTTTAATAAGGCACTTTATTGCATACTTCGTATGCAATAACTATATATTATTTTTATTAAATATATAAAATAATTTTTTTTAGATACTGGGTGCGTCATTTGCCATGATGAGAATTTTGTTAACATTAAACTTAAAGAACAGTGAAACATCAAGAAAATAACGAGTATGGATTTAAGCATAACAATAAATGAAAATCATCCACTTTTTTGGGATCTCTTCAATTCATATACACAATATCTTGGATTTCGGTGTGAGTTACTAAATAAAAAGCTTGAATTTTATAACTACATTACATACACTTTTCTTAATAATGAAAAAGCTCCTATTAAATTGAAATTTCATGTAGGAGATATTGTAGAGTTAACAGAGAATCCAGAAAATATCACCTATGCTAAAATTAAATTAATTTTTAAGCATAAAGCAAACAATGAACGAAATTATGCTTTTTTTCAATTTGAAAAACTTCAGAGAACAAAGTTGTTTGATTCAGTATTGGAATGTCCATATTATGTTCGAAAGCTCAGAGAAACTTTTATTTTTACAATCAACTATGTTAATCATATTTCTCAGGTACATTTCTTGCATGCTTGCACAGACACTTGCAATACTAAGCACGATAAAATAAATAATAGATATATATTAAATGAATTTTATTACAATGTAATATAACATGCAACTTTGGGATGTCCAGTACACTATGTAGATCAAATTTATGTATAGTCTTCTAAATATAAATAAGATTCGGGTACGTACCGTTACAACCTGCGACAAATAGATTATTTTAATAAGTTAAAAAAAATTAATGAAAAATTTTTTTAAAAAAACTCTATTAGTTTAAAATATAGGTTCTGCTGAACAAATGTGCACAATTTTTAAAACAGTTAATATGTAATTTATAGAAGAGACACAATTTAAAGTTTAAAAATCTTATATGAATCGATTATAAAAAATTATTAAATTTCAAATTGTATCTCCTCTGTTACATATTAACTAACCTAAATTATTTTCTCAATTACTAAACAGAACCTGTATTTAAACTAAAAAGACTTTTTTTTTTATTAATTTTGAGAATTTTTAGTAATATTAATAATTTTCGCTGGGCAAGTTTCGGAGTACAAGCCTTCCCATTCGATGGTTACAGTGGCAATTAATATGAGTGGGTAGCTTAATATAAATTAAATATAATAATGCATATTTAGCAATAAGATACTATAGTTAAAAGTCTAAAATAGTGATTGCATAAACAATGTGGTAATCGATAGCAATTATAGTAGTAATAATATATAAGGCACTAATCCAAATGGGGAAATACCTAACTTTCGTTCTCGTTATCTCTTGAAGTCTTTCACTAATTGAATAAACAATAGTAGAATTACATAAGTACCAACTACGAGTAATAGGTTTGGTAATATCTTTTATTACACGAAGGGTGCTGTATTGAGTTGGATTTGTTGTAGCATATTGCTACTACTTAACCCGCGACAATAATATAAACTATTAAGCTAATAGATGAATGGCCAATGGGCCAATGGATCAATGGATCAATGGATTATAACATTGATCCATTGAGATTCATTGGCAAACCTATTTTTAATGGACATAGTCCATTGCCAATCCTGGCCCCATGTAACTTATACGTATACTAGGAGCCAGAAACTGGTATAAGTCTGGAGCTCGCTCCAGCCCCTGAAAAGTCTTGTTATGTATGTCATAAATCAAATTTTTCAGGGCATTTACATCTGGAAAATACCAAAGCTATGTTTTTAATGTACCAAAAACGTAATTTTGGTTATCAAAGTGTATAGAAGTATGAGTCTGTCACTTCGCTCCAGACAATTAGAACGTTAGAGTCGTTTTATGGGGGATAATCAATTGAGATATAAAAAGACATCAATCATCATAATAGCCTTCGTCTTTACTTTATTTAGATAGAGCATTGAGTATTTGGATATGTTTACTATCAACTAGTGAGCAATTGTTTTTTTCGCTATTCAGAATGATTCGAGAGTGGAATTAATATTAATTCAATATACGATATACATACTGCATAATTTGCATTTCTGATATTTTTATATAAAAACTCCCCAAAAGGTTAACTTCTGATGATCGCTGAATTTTACTATGTATAATGACGTTATAATCTATATGACGAAATTTACTATAAAGGTGATTTGTAATATCGATATGAATTTAACTTCTGATGATCACTAAATTTTACTGTAATGACATTATAATCTATATGACGTTTGACGAAATTTACTATAAAGGTGATTTGTAATATGATCAAAGGTTTCTTTTTATCTTCTACTCAACCGCAGAGAAATGTTTTATAACAAAGCCTAGATATAGTGTTAAATATCTAACATTCCAAGAATATTAAGAACAATTTGAGTATATAATCAGCGATTATCATCGATAATCAGTTTTTTTCTTTTTTCACTCGTTTATATACGACTAATTCTCTTTTTTTTTGGGCTACAGTTAATGTCATGGCTGTTGGAGTCACCATAGTTTGAGTTGTTGTTAGTTGGAATATCACCGGTGAGTCGTGTCGTCGCCATAGTTTGAGTGTGGATTTTGTCACTTTTGGTCTTGCCAGTATGCTGTTGGCTCTTTGCCGTTTAGACAGAGTAATCATAGATGGCTTTTTTGATCTTTTTATTTCGTTCTTTGGCTTGACTTGTATATTCCAGTCTTGGGAATTTCAGGAGAGTATAAATTTTGATTTGTTATTCTTGTTTTTGGAGATGTTTACTAACTTATTTCTTTTCAAATATTTTCAGAAGTGTCTTTGAGCTTACATTCCGGTCCTTGGAATATTTAAGGAAGTATGGTTTTTTAAATTTAGGGTTTTTGGAATATCTTAGGACATAAGTTTTTTGTTTTTTTTTTGTAATGTGTGAACCTTTGCAGTACATGCTAACCAGGGTTGTCATGTTTACTATGTTTGTTATATTGGCTCACTTTTTTTCTTTTTCTATTATAAATTTTCGTATTAAATTTTATTATTATTAATAAATATAAAAATATTTTACATTTATTATTACTTTACTAATGGCCTATCAATATATATTTAAATAGTACAGATTATTAATTAAGCTTTTGTTCTATTGTTCTATTGCCAACACTAGTGTTAACCAATATTTTCTTTCTTTTAGATCGTCACCTATCGTGATATTACGAAAATATCTTGCCGTTGGTGTTATCGTTATTTGTGTAGTGAAAATACTTTCGCTGTTGGTATCGTCATTATTGGTGGTGAAATACTTTATTACGTTAGTGGTAATTCAATAATTGGAAATATTACTGTAATGTTGGAAGAGGTTGGATTTTATCGCTTTCGCTGTCGTACATTATCATTTGTACAATACGTTGGGTGTTTTATTCGCTACTTTTGGTCTCGCATTGGTGAGAATTATTTTGCTGTGTAAACATTTGGATAGTTCATAAAATCTAATATAAGGTAAAAATGGGTCTAAAATTCTCTTGATATAAAATTATTATCATCACATTTTGTAATATCGAACTCTCGGTTGTGATCGCTATATTTAGAGCGTATTCTTATTGTGAATTTCAGGAGAGTATAAAATTTGATTTGTTGTTTTGTCTGTTGTTTTTGGTTTTGAGCGCATTTACTAATTTTTTTTTTTCAGGATTTCAAGGCTTCTTTGAGCTTTTCGTCCAGTTCTTGAAGTATTTCTGAAAAAGCATTAACAAAGAACTGAAGCGAAGCAACACAAACTGTATTAGATATAATGAAGTGGTGAGAATATATATTTGCATATAACTGATAGAATAGTTAAAACCGTGGTTTAGGTATCTTTACTGGTTTTCTGTTTGTTATTTTCGCTTGATTTCGTATACAACTAATTTTTTTTTTTTAGCAACTGAACATTGTTATTAGAGTCATTTGTAGATTTGTCACTTCATTAGTGCGGTGCTGTCAATTTCGGTAGCTTCGTGACGTGTCAATACTAGAATTTCATTTTGGTAAATTGGTTGTCTAGGGTTTTGTAGCATCGATTTTAGTGTTATTTCTGGATTTCATTTTTGTTAGCTCGTCATTTTGGTGGGTTACGAGAAGTTGCATTCATTTTTTTTTTTTTAGAGTTTCGTTGGTTTCATGCATAATTCTTTTTTTTCAGTAACCAGACGTTATTATTAGAGTCATTTTCGACATTGCTAGCGTTTCATTTTGGTAAATTCATTGTCTAAGATTTTGTGGCATCAATTTCAATATTATTTCCGGAATCTTGCTTTTGTTGGTTCGTCGTTTTGGTGGGTTTCGTGAAGTTGCTTTGGAGTTTCGTTTGATTTCATTGGTTTCGTGTATATATACGTTTTACTGACTAATTCTTTTTTCATTATTGGAGTCGTCTTCGAAGTTATTGTTGTGGTGCTACTATTACTTTGTTGGTATGGTGCTGTCAATTTCATGTCTTTATTGCTAGCATTTCATTTTGGTGAATCTGTTTAAGGTTTTGGATTGTTGATTTTAATGTTTGTAGTTAAATTTAGGGTTAGGGTTAGGATTAGGATTATAGTTGTTTTATGGTTAGTTAGGTTAGGGTTAGGTTCATAGCTGCTTTATATTATATTATAAATATATTTTTGTAAATTAATAATAAGTTAATTAATAGTAACTTTACGGAATAAAAATATATTTAATTAATATATTTATTATATAAAAATTATATTTTTATTATATTATAAATATATTTTTGTAAGTTAATGATAAACTAATAATAAGTTAATTAGTAGTAATTTACTATATAATAATTATATTATAAATATATTTTAATTATGTTTTAATTATATTAAATTAATATATATACTATATAATAATTATATTATAAATATATTTTAATTATGTTTTAATTATATTAAATCAATATATATACTATATAATAATTATATTATTATTAAATTATAAATATATTTTAATTATATTAAATTAATATATTACTATATAATAATTATATAATAATTATATTATTATTATATTATAAAATTTTAATCATATTTTAATCATATTTTAATCATATTTTAATTATATTTTAATTATATTTTAATTATATTTTAATTATATTTTAATTATATTTTAATTATATTTTAATT